ATTGGATTTGTGAGAATACATAGCATAGTACAGTATTTACAATCTTGTAAAGCCACTAGTACGCACAGCATTTTGGGCAGGTCCTTAATCTAACAGATAATTTTAAGAAGGTAAATTCTATCAGGATTAATAAAATGATAACAAATACATTGCAAAAAAAAATGAGATGAGAGAGATTAATAAGTATATTAAAGCACATTGGTATATTAAAGCTCTGATTCATTACATTGACAGCTTGATTGGTAATTTAAACAAGATTAATAGACACCATACAGCAGATTGACAGCATATATAAGAAGACAGCAATGATCACAATGGTAAAGATGTTCAGAGATTGCAACCCAATCTCAGAGATTGGGTTGCAATAGATACAGTGCAATTTTAAAGCAAAAGGTAAAAAACTATGAAGATCAAATTAAGTACTTTTTAGTATTGTTTTTGAATGACGCAAAAGTTGGACAGCTTTTCAATTCAATAGGGAGTGAGTTCCATAGACTGGGTCCCTTTATTTGCATAGAGTGTTTACAAAGATTAAGTTTGACTCAGGGGATATCAAAGAGATATTTATTTCTGGTGTGGTAATAATGGGTCCTGTTACATCTGTCCAGGGAGAGTTTCAGAGCAGGATTTGCATTTAAGAACAGGGTTTTGTAAATGTAGTTGACACAAGAGAATTTGTGGAGCGAGATTATATTTAGTATGTTTAGGGAGTTAAACAAGGGGGCTGAGTGTTGTCTGAAAGCAGAATTTGTTATTATTCTGATAGCAGATTTTTGCTGGGTGATGATGGACTTGAGGTGGTTTGCAGTGGTTGAACCCCATGCACAGATACCATAATTAAGATAGGGATAGATTAGTGCATAATATAGAGAGATGAGAGCAGAGTTAGGGACATAATATCTGATTTTGGAGAGTATACCAACTGTTTTAGAGACTTTCTTGGTTATGTGTTGTATGTGGGTACTGAAGTCGAGTCTCTTGTCAAGGAATAGGCCGAGAAACTTTCAATCATTTTTATTGGTAATGTTTACATTGTCTATCTGAAGCTGAATTGCATTTGTATATTTGCTTTCAAATAAGATGTAGTAGGTCTTTTATATGTTAAGTATTAGTTTGTTGGTTGACATCCATAAGTGGACTTTTTTTAGTTCATTATTAACAACATTATTTAGTGTATGTGGGTTGGGGTTAGAGTAGATGAGGGTAGTATCATCAGCAAACAAAATAGGTTTCAGAATATTAGAGACATTAGGCAGATCATTGATGTATACAAGAAATAGGAGAGGTCCCAAAATGCTGCCCTGTGGCACTCCAACGGTTATTGGTAGAGTGGGAGAGGTTATATTATTGATGGCTACACATTGGTGTTTATCACTAGGATAAGATTGGATATAGTCCAGCGTATGGCCTCGGATTCCATAATGATGGAGTTTACGTAAGGAGGTAATTGTGATTAACAGTATCAAAGGCCTTTCTCAGGTCAATGAAGAGTCCAATCGGAAACTCATTTTTGTCAAGGGCTGAGTAAATTATATCAAGGAGACTAATAATTGTATCGTTGGTACTCTTTTTGGGAGCGGAAGCCAAACTGACAGGGGCTAAGAATGTCGAATTTTACGAGATAGGAGTAGAGCTGTTTGTAGATAACTTTTTCCAATATTTTTGATAGTATGGGTAGGTTTGATATTGGTCTACAATTGTTTATGTCTGCTGGATTACCTCCTTTATGAACTGGCATTACTCTTGCTTTTTTAAGGATATCAGGGAAGGTATGACACTCGAGGGATTTGTTGAACAGTAGAGCTATAGGTGGCGCAAGGGCGTGGGAGGTGCTCTTGTATACAATGGATGGGATTTCACCGATGTTCCCAGCTTTGGTTTTTAGTGAGTGTATGATGGACACAACATCTGTCGGGCTGACTGGTGAAAGGAGAAGAGAGTTTGGATAGCTGCCAGAGATGTGTTGATATGTGTCCGAGTCTGTGGGATTTTACTGGCAAGGTTAGAACCAACCGATGAAAAGAAGCTATTGTAACGGTTCTATTGTTACGTAAAGTATGGTGACAAATACACACAGACACTAAGATACTATATATATATTTGGTTGAATATACAGAAGTACACAGGTGATACTTTGGTGTGAGTTGAGCGCACTGAGCGTCGGTACAGTATCTCGCAAGTGTCTGCTCTAGACCACACTTGAAAGTAGACTCTTCAATGTTCGCTACACCGCTGCTTATATGCTCGGGCAACACCTCACCTCATTCATCTCCAAAGGTTGACAGGAATATTAACAATGCATTTGGAGCGAGTATATTATTGGGATAATCTACTCACTACAGAACTCCCCTTCCCAGGGGATGAAAGGAAAAATACTTGATCAAGGAACTTAGCTGGTCGGCGAATTGTACGCCCTACTCGCGTTACATAACCATCAAAGTTAACTTCCTTCTCTTCGCTGATGTCATCTAACTGGGGTCGTAGGATGGGAGGTCGCACAGGATCGTCCGTCGTCGCAGGATCAGGTTGTGGTGCGGCTGGTAACTGGGGTTGTAGGGCGAGAGGTCGTACAGGATCGTCCGTTGTCGTAGGTGGCGGTGCTGCTGGTAACTGTGGTCGAAAAGTGAACTGCGTAGTCGGCGGATGTGTCTCTGGATTTAGCAGTGTCGCAGACGTTGAGACGAAGCCTGGAGCAGAGCAGAGAGCCGAGTGAGGCCGGAGTCGTGGAGCTCTATGTGGGAGAGCGTGGCGGCTCGATTGAGATTTGTGAGTGTCTAAACTCGGGGAGCGAGAGCGTGGCGGCTCGATGCGGTCGTAGTCTGCTGTCTGCTCTGTGTCGAAGCTGTAGCGTCTTGGGTTGATTAGGACTGTACACGCCGAGTACTACATTGTTGACTATGGAAATTGTAGTCTGGTACCAAAAGATGTAGGCAGTGTGTGGACAAGCTCGGTGTAGCAGGAGAGAAGAATGTGCATAATTGTTGCGTCCTTGGGTCGCTGGTGGAGCATTTAGATCCGGGGCGGATGGGCTCGAGCACCAGGACATTAGGAGGTAATGTAGGCACGTAGTTAGGACAACGAGGTAATCACTGCTAGAGCTGAATTGTCCTGGAGGCGACGAAGAGTCGGAAACGCAAGCTGTAAGTCCTGTACTGCGCAAAGTGCTTGAGTCGGCAGAGTATCAGAATGCAGTGAACGTGTAGATGAATCTGACGAAAAAGCAGCTTTCGTGGGCGCCCCTGTAGAACAAGCAGTGCCCTGGCAGCGACGGAGAGTCGGCAGGACAGGCTGTAGATCACACATTATGTAGTTACTGATGAAGCTGCCAGATGAGTGAGTAGTGATCGTGGAGCAGCAAGCCGTAGTAGATGAAAATGCAGAGACGATCGCGATGAAAATCATAGCTGTGGCAAGGGTGTTTGGCAACGTTCCATGACAGGTGGCTGCGGTCCACAGCAAGCAGCAGCAGTGGAGGTCCAGTGAGAGTCCATGTTGTAGTCCATCGTGGCTGGGTATCGTCGAAACTCTCTGGGGTCACCAATGTAACGGTTCTATTGTTACGTAAAGTATGGTGACAAATACACACAGACACTAAGATACTATATATATATTTGGTCGAATATACAGAAGTACACAGGTGATACTTTGGTGTGAGTTGAGCGCACTGAGCGTCGGTACAGTATCTCGCAAGTGTCTGCTCTAGACCACACTTGAAAGTAGACTCGTCAATGTTCGCTACACCGCTGCTTATATGCTCGGGCAACACCTCACCTCATTCATTTCCAAAGGTTGACAGGAATATTAACAATGCATTTGGAGCGAGTATATTATTGGGATAATCTACTCGCTACACTATTAAATTCATTCGCCATTTCTAAATCAGATGACGGTGTAAGGCCATCCTTAGAGAGTGTTATCTGGTTGTGGGAGTGTTGTTTAGTTCCTAGGATATTAGAGATGGTTTTCCATGTGCTATACACAGTCATAGGCCACATGTACACTTTTTATCATTGTAATGAATATCATTGTTTAATTCAGAATATAAATAGAAACCTATGAAGGCCAGCCCTTACTGCCTTTGCCCCATAGGGCACCCCTCCCTGCCTCTGCCCCATAGGGCACCCCTCCCCGACTCTGCCCCATAGGGCACCCCTCCCCGTCTCTGACCCCCCCCACATAGGGCACCCCTCCCCACCTCTGCCCCCCCCCCCCCCCGTAGGGCACCCCTCCCCATCTCTGCCCCCCTGTAGGGCACCCCTCCCCACCTCTGCCCCCCCCCCATAGGGCACCCCTCCCCACCTCTGCCCCCCCATAGGACACCCCTCCCCACCTCTGCCCCCCCCATATGGCACCCCCTCCCCACCTCTGCCCCCCCCATATGGCACCCCCTCCCCACCTCTGCCCCCCCCCCCCGTATGGCACCCCCTCCCCACCTCTGCCCCCCCGTAGGGCACCCCTCCCCACCTCTGACCCCCTAGGGCACCCCTCCCCACCCCTGCCCCCCTAGGGCACCACTCCCCACCCCTTCCCACCCCTCCGCCCCCCTAGAGCAGCCCAAGTCACATAACAGTTCACGTCACATTCCAAATACCCCATGACAGCTCATGTCACATTGCCTCTGACCCGTGACGGGTCACACCACATTGCCTTCGTCACATGACAGCTCATATGACATGACAACTTCCGTCACGTCTGTCCTACAACACATCGGCAGGCAACCCGACCCACAGGTCAAGTGTCACCCACAGCTACCTGAACTCAACACTCCACAGGTATAATGATCAATGACTATGCCACACACTGGGTCCTGGAAACCCGCTGGGTACACACTAATACACAAGGTCATACACAAATACACAACATAAAATTATTCTCATACACGTCCACACACATGCCTACTCAACAAGGCCGCGGCACATATGTACACTGGCACATCGTCACACCTCGGCCCTCCCCACCCGGGTGCACCACACACTCTGCTCGCGGATAAGTTGACTTACCTGCCCTGAAGATCCTGGAGGAGGCGAGGGCGAGGGCCTGACGGTGAGTTTCTCCTCAGCGGCGCCGATCACAACAATCCCACTCCAGCAGATCCTGTACGTCAGGAGGCGATGACGTCATGAAGGTGACGATGACGTCGTCCAAGTGACGGTGACGTCACCTATCCGTGGTTAATATTCTAAGGACTTAAGTCTTCCAAATTACATATTACGAAGTACATAATATGATTATATGCTCAACTTAAGATAGGCTGTAAACTATTTATATTTAGAGCAAGTAAGTGTTATTATAATGACGTCACATCCCGCTGAGGCTCCGGATCAGCACATCCGGCCAAGCCCGAGGCAGTGTTGCCAACTGCCGCATACTTCCGGTACTCGGCCGCCCTGCACGAGTACCTCTACCCCTAAAACATTGACTGATTAGTTTTAATTGTTATTTTTATTTTTTTATTGATTTATATATACAAGAGTTCTTACATACTTGTAAGAATGTAAGAATCTTGCAAGTTCATTCATTCTAGTTTATTTTCTCCCTCAGGTAATTGTCAATTCCTTCACCACGTTAATCAATTTTATTTTTATTTTATTTATATATGTACAAGAAGGTACAATGGGTTTGTGAGAGTACATACCATGATGTGTTTACAGTCTTGTAAAGCCACTAGCACGCTCAGCGTTTCGGGCAGGTCCTTAATCTAATAAATAATATTAGTTAGTTTAGTTCATTTATTATTCATATTCAAATTCAAATGATTAGTTAGGTAAAGTACATACATACAAGGTGTGATACAAACATTGGTGGATTTATAGATAGAGCTAGTACATACAATGCCTAAAGCCACTATTTCGCAAAGCGTTACGGGCAGTTTTTAGTTTAGTTCATTCATTATGCACCCCATACCCATCTTGTGGGCGGTAGTGGAAAGGGTTACAGAGGCACATAATGGGCTCAAGGACTGAACCCCACAATTCATTTAGCTAAGTAAGTTACAATCTTGATGAGCTAGTTACAAAATTCAATATAAGTCGTGTAGCGAGTAGATTATCCCAATAATATACTCGCTCCAAATGCATTGTTAATATTCCTGTCAACCTTTGGAGATGAATGAGGTGAGGTGTTGCCCGAGCATTTAAGCTGCAGAGTAGCAAATATTAACTTTACGGGCTATTCATGCCCGTGCCACCTCTTGGGTGGCTTAATCTTCATCACTCATCAATCAAATATTAACTAGTCTACTTTCAAGTGTGGTCTAGAACAGACACTTGCGAGATACCGTACCTTTCACGGGAGACATCTCCCGTCACGCAGGGTGCAGTCGCACCTCCACAGATCTCCAGTATCATCTATTGATACTGGAAATGGCTCAAAAGGGCCACCACTTATGGGCTATTCATGCCCAAGCCACCTTTTGGGTGGCTTAATCTTCTCTCTCTCTCTCTCTACCGTACCGACTCTCAGTGCGCTCAACTCACACCATTGCTCGCCAAGGTATCACCTGCATACTTCTGTATACTCGACTAAATATATATATATATATATATATTCAGGCTTGTTCGCATATATATATATATATATATATATATATATATATATATATATATATATATATATATATATATATATATATATATGTCGTACCTAATAGCCAGAACTCACTTCTCAGCCTACTATGCAAGGCCCGATTTGCCTAATAAGCCAAGTTTTCATGAATTAATGTTTTTTCGTCTACCTAACCTACCTAACCTAACCTAACCTAGCTTTTTTTGGCTACCTAACCTAACCTTACCTATATATATAGGTTAGGTTAGGTTAGGTAGGGTTGGTTAGGTTCGGTCATATATCTACGTTAATTTTAACTCCAATAAAAAAAATTGACCTCATACATAGTGAAAAGGGTAGCTTTATCATTTCATAAGAAAAAAATTATAGTAAATATATTAATTCAGGAAAACTTGGCTTATTAGGCAAATCGGGCCTTGAATAGTAGGCTGAGAAGTGAGTTCTGGCTACTAGGTACGACATATATATATATATATATATATATATATATATATATTCTCTTAGTGTCTGTGTTTTGTCACCATACTTTACGTAAGAATAGAACCGTTACAGTCGTCACATCAACAATGGGTTCGAGATCGACCACAAGTACAGTTTCTAAATTAACCAACTGACATATGTGGAGAGATAGTGTCACAATTGATATGTTTGTCCTGCACACCGCCCCCCATCCGGTGGGCAGCGGTGGATAGGTTAAAATCACTTAATTACTACCTACAGTTTGCAAATTGGGGATAATTGGCTAAAATTTCTGGTAGCAGATCATTTTGAATGAAATATTTACACATCGCTGGAACATTGGTTATAGAATTGTCTCTAAATTCACGTATCTTTTCGCACTCCATCACATAGTGACGGAGGGTGTGCGAATAATTTTGTTGACACAGTTTACATTTGGTCAGATCTACATCGGCAGATAATGAGAATTCCCAGAGATACTTGTAACCGAGTCTAAGCCGAGCAGTAGTAAAATCCTGAAGTCTGCTGATTTTATTGAATGAACCATAGATGTGTGGCTCTTCTTGCAGGATAGTATGATGATAGATGGAATTAATGGTGTCGATTTCACATTGCCTCAGATCTACAAGATCTTGTTGAAGTTCTCGGTGTACTGCTGCTCTCAGATTGCTCATTGACATTTTTTTCGGCAGGAAAAACACTAAAGACTAAAACTTAATACTAAACTCCTTATCATCCTTAAATGCTCTCAACTCTTCAAATTAAGACATAACTGTAACATGCTCGTGTCCGAAGCTAGACATAAATACAACAAAATAATTAAGGGTGGTAACAGAGTCCATTTCATGTGGTCTCCATCTCATGTTGGCCTCCGAATGCATGATAGAACTGATAAGTTAGCCAAAGAATCTGCCTTTAAAGGAGCCGTTGAGTGTAACCTCACACTCAACAGAGAACATATACGGCACGCATAGACGAGATAAAGCACCTAAATTATTGGAATCGTCTCAAAGCTCTCTAAATGTACTCACTAGAAAGGAGACGAGAGAGATACCAAATAATATACACATGGAAAATACTGGAGGGACAGGTCCCAAATCTGCACAGTAAAATAACAATGTACTGGAGTGAACGATATGGAAGAAAATGCAGAATAGAACCAGTGAAGAGCAGAGGTGCCATGGGCACAATCAGTGAACACTGTATGAACATCAGAGGTTGTTCAACGTCCTACCAGCGAGCATCAGAAATATTACAGGAACAACCGTGGACATCTTCAAGAGGAAACTAGATTGTTTCCTTCAAGGAGTGCCGGACCAACCGGGCTGTGGTGGGTATGTAGGCCTGCGGGCCGCTCCAAGCAACAGCCTGGTGGACCAAACTCTCACAAGTCAAGTCTGGCCTCGGACCGGGCTTGGGGAGTAGAAGAACTCCCAGAACCCCATCAACCAGGTATCAACCTTGGATTGTCAATGAGCAATCTGAGAGCAGCAGTACACCGAGAACTTCAACAAGATAATAGACATAATAGACGCTGCTTTTTCAACAATGTTCCCCCCTCTTTTACCCCTATTTTTATTTGTTCTCAACACATTTTATTCTTTTTACCCATTAGTTTTAAGCTTTAGTCATTAATGTTTTTCCTGTCCGAAACGCTTTGCGTAATAGTGGCTTTAGGCATTGTATGTACTAGCTCTATCTATATAGCCAACAAACTTTGTAAAATCTCTTTATGTATGTACCTTACCTAAATAAAAATTATTATTATTATTATTATTATTATTATTATTATTATTATTATTATTATAAGATCTTGTAGATCTGAGGCAAAGTGAAATTGACACCAGTAATTCCATCTATCATCATTCTATCATGCAAGAGGAGTCACACATCTATGGATCATCCAATAAAACCAGCAGACTTCTAGATGTTACTACTGCTCGGCTTAGACTCGGTTACAAGTATCTCTGGGAATTCTCATTATCTGCCGAAGTAAACCTGACCAAATGTAAACTGTGTCAACAAAATTATTCGCACACCCTCCGTCACTATGTGATGGAGTGCCAAAAGATATGTGAATTTAGAGACAATTCTATAACCAATGTTCCAGCGATGTGTAAATATTTCATTCAAAATGATCTGCTACCAGAAATTTTAGCCAAATATCCCCAGTTTGCAAACTGTAGGTAGTAACTGAGTGATTACAAGAGTTTTTACATTCTTGTAAAGCCACTAGTCCGCGTAGCGTTTCGGGCAGGTCCTTAACCCTAATTTCCCCGGAATACGACTCCGCCGAATCGTTTAACAACCAGGTACCCATTCACTGCTGGGCGAACAGAGGCTGCAGTTAAGGATTGGCGCCCGGTCAATCCTCCCCAGCCAGGATTCGAACCCAAGGCAAGGCGCTTGCGAAACGCCAGGCGAGTATCTTACCACTGCGCCATGGGGACTGCTCGTAACCTATGTCCACTGGATGGGGGGCGGTGTGCAGGACAAACATATAAATTGTTACACTAGCTCTCCTCATATGTCAGTTGCTTAATTTAGAACCTGTACTTGAGGTCGATCTCGAACCCATTGTTGATGTGACGACTTATTAAAGTTTGTAACTAGCTCATCAAGATTGTAACTTGCTTAGCTAAATGAATTGTGGGGTTCAGTCCCTGAGCCCATTATGTGCCTCTGTAACCCTTTCCACTATACCGCCCACAAGATGGGTATGGGGTGCATAATAAATGAACTAAACTAAACTAATTGAGATTAAAGTATAACTTGTGTTGAGAAAATATAAAAATAAAAAAGGGGGGAACATGGCAGAAAAAGAGCAAATATACAACTTGGTCGACAAACAGCATTGTTTAAAATAGCAAACATGGGTTGACATTAAGGGCTATGGTAGGTTAATAGTCACTGCTTCCCAAAGCGGTGAAGTTTCTGTGGGAAGAAAACGTATTACCATGAGTTTGTGTCTAACCGACTAAGTTGTGCCGCATTGAGCGGGGTACTTAAAGCGCGCCCGCGGTCTCGGCGACCACGGGAGACATCTCCCGTCACGCAGGGTGCAGTCGCACCTCCACAGATCTCCAGTATCATCTATTGATACTGGAAATGGCTCAAAAGGGCCACCACTTATGGGCTATTCATGCCCAAGCCACCTTTTG